TTTTTTTGTGTATAATAGCATCATGTCTCTGCGACCTCGACCATACGCATCTGTTAATCGATATGCAGTGTAAGTTTATTTGAAATTTAAAATAATATTATACTAAAGAGTATAAATTTTTTAGGCGAAGACCAACATTTATTCCACGACCAGCTGTTGTAGGTCCCCGACCCGCCGCAGGCGGTGGCATGAATGGTTTAATCGGTGGCTTAGCTTGTCCATTACTCTGTCTTGGTTGTCTAGCCGCATTATCCTTACTTGGTCTTTTTGCTACAATGATAGCAGCTGCAGCATATATGAGTATGTGTATAACTGATTTTAATATAAAAGTGTATTTCAATTCCTTTCGTATTTTTCTTAGATCAAATCCAAAAACAAATTCGTAAAAATGCTTCAGCTGATGGTACAATGGTAGAACTCAATTTTATGGTTCTTTTCAGTGCTCTTCTCTGCTCAGTTTATGTATTATGTAAACATCGTCGAAGTGTTGCTAGCACCTGAGTGATGAACGAACTATAAAAAATCTATTTAAACGTCGTTATACACATTTGAATAAGAAAAACGCATATTTTTTTTTGCAACACAACTATATTTTTCCTTTTTTTTATATTTTGCGCGCCAGAAAAACAAGTCTTTTTTTTTTGAACAGGTACAATCAGTTTTAATATAAAAACGTCAATCGTCGTCGTCGTCGTTATTATTACTTTTTCTTGAAATATAAAATAAAAATGCTGCTAAATTGTTTTTATTATTACACACATATCTACATTTGTTTGACTGATTTTCTGTCGCTTGTCTATTTTTGTCTATGAATTATAAAAACGAAAGATAAACAACAAAAAAAAAAGGCCTTTCTATCTATACATATATTGTTATTCTAACAGAGATTAGACCAAGAATTATGTCTAAAAAATTTGAATAAATACGAAAAAGAGGAAAAGATACACGTTCTGTTCATTAAAACCAAATCAAATTAATGATTCATTCATATTAATAAATTCAATTAACTAATTTGCTTAGACACAATACAATTCGATATTTTTATTTAACATTTATCTATTGGATTTTTTTTTCGTGTTCTGTCGAAACATCTACGATCATCATATTTGAGTTTTGCTATCAAGGACAATTCTCATATACGTGCTTGTATATTTCATAGAAGAAAAAACCTGCCGTTCTTTTTCATACGCGCATGCGCGTTTACCCTGCTACGTTACGCATGATATATTTTTTTTTGCATTTTCTTTTTTTGTCATATGTATACATACATATTCATCATGAAATACGGAGGCTGATGTGCATAACTTGTTTCTCTCTTTTAAAAAGGTTTCTTTTTTGTCGTCGACGTAGGTAAAATACTTTTTTTTCTATCTTATAAGTCATGCACATTGATGAGAAATATATTAGTTCCTCTCTTGTACTAAACACGAAGGAAAAAAATGCCGTCAACCATGACGTGAGTGTATAGGGATGCGTCTCCTTCAGATGATAGAATATAGATAGAAGGAGAGAGAGGGAGAGAGAAGCAGAGTGTGAAGAAATACAGTGGCGTATTTTTTTCAAACAATAATAACTATCGAGTGCTATATACTTGTGCATGTATGAGAAAGGAAAAGAGAGTGCATATGAGAAGATTCAGTATTGGCTATTTGTTTTTTTTAAAAGAACAAAAAATATTTCTCTATTTTTTTAATAAATCATTAAACATTCCTATAGTTTTTTAGATCGCTGGCCATCCTAAAATAACAAGATGCAGAGACGGTAAGTGTCGTAGCTTCGATATTATTTTATTATAATTCATGTAAAATGTCTGTTACTTTAGACCAGTAGCAGTAGCTCGACCAATGGTACGCCCCGCAGCTGGCGGAGCCGGTAAAATGGGTGGATTATTGGGTGGCTTAGGTGGTGCTATCACTTGCCTCTGTTGTTTATCGGCACTCGGTTTAATTGGCCTTTGGGTAACATTTATCCCATTCGTTGCATTCTTTAGTAAGTTATTTTTTGACAAAAAATTTTTGTTCTCTAATTAATTTCTCTCGTTTTTTCTTCTATTAAAATAGAATATGCATATGATCAAGATGTAAGAGCCTATGGTGGTAGCCCAAGCATCCAAAATCTTCAACAAATTGTTTTACTTCTGGCAATTTGTCTATTATCAATTCGTTTTGTCAAACGGCAAATGAATACATAAATCCATAAATCAAAAAGACTCTAATTTTTTTTGCATATCGAACTACAGTCGTTATCGTCGTCATCGTTGTTTTTTTTGTCAAATTTAATCCACATGAAAATGTATATGCGCGCTAAATAAACACAAAGAAATAGAGAGAAGAGTCGTCGTCGTCGTCATTATCACCATCATTATTTTAAAACAATCCCAACACCACAAAGTTTTACTCTTTTTTTAAGTCTCTATCTCTCTACAATTTTTTTGTCTTTATTCTTTTTCTATATAATATTTTTTTTTGTCTATTGAACAAAGCACGCGTCCACATATATTGATCTTTTTGTATTTATTCAAGCTACTAAAGTATAAGCCAACAGTCTCATAAAGAAAGAATTTTATTTTAAAACAAAAAAGTTTACAGGAGGAAGAGAAACAATACTCCGAGGAAGTTCGATATTTAAAATTGAAAACACTAGCAGAAGATAATTGATGATTCACATGATGCTATCAAATATGTTTACAAATTATAAGAAATTGTTTTTTATCAGTATGAAATACGTTGAAATTTCAGTATCATTTATCGTCATAGATATTTGGCATATTGATCATATACAATAATAAACAAATAAACCATTTCAACTGTTGATTGTTTTTCATCAATACATGACATATTAGTTCTTTACAAGATGACGTTGTTTTTCTATTCAATTAACAAACTGTTTATGACACTGTTATCTAGATATGTTCATCAAACATATTGATAACGAAAAGTACTGACAAGGAGAAAAAGGAAAATTTGTATATATTTTCAATAGAATTATAAAACATAATGTTGTAGGAATGCATAACAACATATTATAAACACGAGTTCGTCTCGCTAATATATGCTTCAAGTCAACTGATAGACGTTATTATAAATCGAGTTTTTAATTGTTACTTTCACAAACTATCAGTGGCGGATCTAGGAAGGGGGACGGGGTGATTATTTTTTTTTGAGTATGGAGGGGCGATTTTGGCTAAAAGCTATTTTTTGAGTCCAACCGAAGTGGTGTGAACCTATTTTTTCGTTCATTTTTACTGTAAAAAATCAAAAGAAAAATTCAGAAGGGGGAGGGCGATCGCCCCCCGAATCCGCCACTGCAAACTATTGTGTATTTTGAAGCATCTTAGAAAAGATTACATATCCAAGCAGACAAGAATTTGCAGAAACGCGCTTAAACGTTCAATCGGGAATCGCGATTGTATCTCATTCACGCTCGAAAAAAAATGTCGTTTTATCAATTTCTGGCGTTTTTTCCATATAATTCTAGTTTTTGAACGTTGAAACGTGTTTTTATTTCTGTAGTTTTCTGCAATCTGAAAGCAGTGCATTTTAACGCTCAAAAACCTGGATTTTTTGTCGCTTTCACGTTCAAAAACTAGAAATTATATGGAAAAAAAACGATAAAACGACGTTTTTTTTCGAGCGTGAATGAGATACAATCGCGGTTCCCGACTGAGCGTTTAAAAGCGTTTCTCTAAATTCTTGTTTGCTTGGGTATCTATACCTAGGACAAACTGAACCTGTTATACGAAATGATACATTTCATACAGTATCTTTTAAGTATATATAACAAGCAACAGAACAGTATTGAACTCGATAGTAACAATTTATACATAATGTATATCAGGGTTTTTGCTGGATCATATTTAGATATCATCAATCCATATCAACATTCTCTATATCGGCTAGTCTATATAACTCATTGTTAGTTCATAAATACCACGGCTATTTGAAATGAAACCTTTTTTTCAAACAAATATAATCCCTTATTTATTTTTCCCGATAAGTGATTTCGTTCATATTTTATCAGTTCTTAATAAGATTTTGATGGCAGAAAATCTTCATTAATCTTTGTAATTCTATCATATATTAATTAACAAGGATAATATTTGTAAATTAGTTTCTTTTTTAAATTCAATACTTTTAACTATTGATGATTATGTATAGATCATATTACTAACATAATACAGATTCTTAGAAAAAAAATAAAGAATCAACAATGTGTTCTTATCGGAATTCATGGATTTTCTAGAATTCCAAGATGTATGATTGTTAATAGAACTATTGACGTAATTCTTCTGTATCTTATCTAAGAATATGTGTGAAAATGTCTGCTCTCTAAAAAAATGTATTAACGATATTATATCAGTATCCCATCATTCCAATCAAGACAATACTTCGAGCAGTAGCGACATCTATCAATAGTAAATTACATAAATCCAACGTAATATTTCAAAGAATTTCATATAAAATTTCCTACTTAGGTAAAAAGCTATATTTTTGATTTGGTCGTAGAATTTCATTGGAGAAAAACTACGCTACTATCAATGTTATATAAGTGATGTATATCACGAATAGTTAAATTGAAAATATACACATAAACACTCTACTATTGTGACTGCTTCTTCTATCTTAAATTATGTATCAACCAACGGTTCTTTATTATCTATGCAATGAATAATTGAAATCAAAACAATAAATTTAAATGTTTTTTTAACAAAATATTTCAAAATTTATTTTAGATGAATCCTTCACAACAACAACAACCTACAAATTCTAATAATAATAATCAATCACAAACACCTGTTAATCATCAATATGACGACTACGAAGATGATGTATCATTGCACCAAACTTATCCGTATGTCAGACAACATTATTTAATTAAAAATCGACTTTTCTTAAAAGATGACATTCATTAATTTCTAAATAGTTAACAGATAGAAGCAAACAAATAAGAAAGGTCATGAGAAAATATTAGAACAAAAATAGATTTTTAATATTCAGTAAATATTATTATTATTATTCTTAAATAATGATAACTTCCAGCTGTTTCATAGAATATATTTTATAAGAATTGCATTTTGAAAAATGAATAATTCAAGTAGTAGAAATTTTTTCGTCTATATTATACTTGTAGAATAGAGTGTATTGCAAAAATTGAATAAATTCATTATAATTTTAATAAAAATTTATATTTTGAAGAGTAGAATGAGATTTCATTCAATAACAAAATCCAAAAATAACTGATAGTTAACCATTCTTTAGTTATTGAAGCGAATATTATATATGAAGAACATTTTTTTACTTTCATTAAAGTCTGCATTGTATGTTATATGAAGCGATATGTCTGTCATTAGTTAATGACGGAGAAAGTCATTGTATATTATAAAAAAAACATGTTTGTGTCAAAAATATTAAACTACTTGAACGCATATAATGTTTATTTATGGCTACCTAGAAAGTGTGACGGCTTCTCTCGGCACTGAAAAGTTTTCTACAAATGTAATCAAAATATCAATTATATTTATATTGGATTTTACCGTTTGGAGTATTGTAGTGTACCACTCTGAATATAATTAGTAGACGATTTTTTAATGAAGAATTTTAAGAATTACAAAGGTATACATAACATTCATATAATCAATATTTTAAGTAGGAGAAAGCTAAGTTATTGGAGTATAGTAAGAAAAAAAAGAGAGTTAACATGTTCTTTACTATATTAATATTCACTTATGTACTTTTAAGTTAGTTGGAAAGAATTTTTATGATATAGAGGTACGTGATATTTGCATCTATTTAATTATATGTGAAAGTAACATGTTTTCTTTGAAATAATCATTGGAAAATTTAATTTCAGTATTGAGTTTCATTCCCTAGAAAATTATAACTTGAAAATTTGAATATTTGTTTTTTTCATAGTCCTAATTCTAATGATCAATCATCGAATATAAACAATAATGAATATTATGATCCTACTCAACAACAACAGTAAGAAAATTTACATAATTAAATATCAAAAACTATATTTTTTGGTTTATAGATATCATGAGGATTATAGTGGATATAATTTGAATCCCGAGGACTATTTCGACGATTACGAATCAGATCCAGAAGATGGTGAAACTCAAGTTGATCCAATAGAGAATATGCTAAGAGATGCAAGACCAGATGATCATAATGGAGATGTAGCTGTCTTCTCTGATGCTGTTCAAAATGCATTTGAAAATTATGAAAAAGAAGTATATATTCTGTAATACAATCTATTCAAATATTTATTTTCTATTTGTAGAATGCAAAACATTGGCATCATAACGATTCGGTATAGTTTAATATAATTTTATTCATTTATGTTTTTTTAATAAAGAAAGAAAAAAATTCTTTCTAGACATGGAATAATTTTTCCAATGACGAGGTAGTAAAACATGATATAAATTGCTTTTATATTGATGACAGCTTTATTTACTAAATAATAACCTATCGTCTATATTATTTCCATACATCTAAATATTTATTTTTCTCTTTACTAGCAAGATGAAATGTTTGAACAAATGCGTGAATGTATGCTTTTTATGTCCCAAGAGTATAGTACTGCTGAAATGCCAAATAATCTAGTAATTTTATTTTATAGAAAGAATTATTACAGGATGGTGTCATTTTTCCAATTATTTGTAGGTTGAACTAACACAAGAAAGTACATTAAATCCAGATGCGACAGAATTCCGCCCATCATGGTTGTCATCACCAGCACAAGTAACAACAACAACAACCGATACAGACTTTTTAGTAACGTCATGGGCACCCTGCACAGTCGAAAAACAAGAAAAAGACTCGATTAATTCTTAAGTATTTGTCTGTCTGCGTTTATTAAATCATTACTGAATTATATATAGACATAGATATATATATATATACTAAAAAAAATCCGTCTATCTATTCACTATATATATATTTTATGTTTCTATTTCATGCCGTTTGTTTACTGGGTTTTTTTCTCATTCTTACATTACTAAAGAAAAAGAACAGTATGTTGCCAATATAAAAGAAAAAGCTTTTGCATCGTCAAAAGACAAGTAAAGAAAAATTTATTAATGCTTATCAAGTTTGTGACCTTCAAAGTATTTTTTTTTGTCCGTCTTGCCGTAATATGTTTTCTTTTTCCTTTTCTCTAGCAGAGCAACGAGACAATGTAATGTTTCGGCGAAAATATTTCTTTTTCGAAACATTACTTTATCTTCTTACCTTTTTCTATTTTCTTTTTGTTCTGATTTAAGGATCAAGTTTGCTTTTCTTAAAGTTTTATGATGATAAAAAAAAACCGAATAATTTTTTTTGCAGCCTTAATTTTTGTACTTTTTATTTATTAATAGATTTTTATATTCGTCATACGGCCATGTCGTCTGTAGGTGTTACAAAACCGATGCGTAAAACTTCTTGTGATAAATTTGTTTCATCTAATGCAAGTAATATATCACTAGATGGAAGTGATACATTCATTCGTGCCAATGATATTAATCTAAATAGTAATTCTTATGCTAATACACCTTCTCCATCATCAATTACAACAATAAGTTCAATCGATCGATCATTTAAATATCGATCATCACGTTTAAAAAGTAAAATATTTTGTTTTTTGAAATAAAAATATTTTCATTTTTATTTTGTCTTCTTAAAAAAAACTAGATGATTATCGTTCACATATGTTCTCAAAGCGTCATTATAAACATGATAGATTATTTTATCATACACATGCACTTAATCGACAATATGTAGTAGCAATGACGAATATACTTTATCAGATGCAAAAAGAAATTGTTAAATTAAAACGACGTACAAATAGTATTGAACAAATGCTTAGTAAACAAACACGAGTAGTACATCCAATTATTCGGTTACCACGTTTAACACGTGGTAAGATATTTCAAAAAAACAAAAAAAATAAAACGTAAAAATTCACTATTTTTAGATGATATTTCGACAATATGCACCGATGATACTGAAAATCAACCATCGGTTAGTTCGGATGTTTTTCAAAATAATGAAAATGTACATACATCAGAAATGACAACACCAGGTAATATTGACATTTAAGAAAAACAAAACGCTACGTCATCTTGTCTTTGTTCTTTTATTAGATAACAATCATAAGGATGATAGTGAGGGCTCTATACTATTGAATACAGAATCTTCACCAAACAATCTTGAAATAAATAAACATTCTAATCAAAAAAATAAGCATTGTTTTGAATGTCGGCATGAATTTTCAAATCGATCAGGTTATTTACGGCATATTAAAAATGTACATAAAGGAATATTTCCAACAGCATCGGAAAATGACACACCATTAGAAGTATTATTCATATAATTAATAATTCATTCGAATTTTTATTTTTTTATTTTTGCTAGAATGATAATCATCAAACTAAACCAACTGTTCGTTCGTCGAGTAAATGAAATTAATTATAAAAATTATTATTATTTTCTTTTTTTTGTTTAGTTGATTATTTGGAAGTTGACCATAGAATAGAAAGTGATTCATTAAATTATTTAGTTAATCAATGGGATATTGGAGAAGGTCGTTTAAGACCAAGATCAGTAACAAAACCAATTGTTATTACTGAGTCAGTACGAAAATTAAAATGTGATATTTGTAACAAATTCTTTCGTGCTGATTATCTTATGGTTTGTATATATCAACTATTAGATATCACATAGTCTATTTTACTAATTAAAATAATCATCTACGTATAACATTCTGAAATAATTACTTTTTGTTTCGAATATCAGATGTTATTCCTTTCTACTATATAAATTTCAAGGTAACTCGTACATTTTTAATGTAAAAACAATGAAAACATGTATTCTAACGATTAGAATGTTCTCAATATTTGCAAAAAAAATTCATATTCTTCTTAATAAAGAAAAAAAAATGTCTGATTTAGTATTTGTTAATTACTGTCTATGATTATCATGTATAGTTGTCTTAAGAATCCTTGCCATTGTATTAGTATATATATTAGAATAGTTCATAATCATCTAATCTTTAAATTTTCAATAGAAAACTTTTCTTTTATTATTTCTTTAATGTTTTAGAAACATATGAGACGTACTCATCATATATCAGACCCACCTTTATCAAATGACTTATCTGATCAACATCAATCCAATATTGATAAACCTATTGATGAAATTCAATCAACATCTAATGAATCATTTGGAAATAATATAGATCCTCCATCGACAATCACAGTTACTGAAATGGATTTTGAAGATATACAAATTGATTTAGATGTATGTATTGTTATTAATATAAAATCTAATTAATTAAATTTTATTATTTAGACAACTTTAGATAAATCAATTGTTATTACTACAACACTTCTTGAACAATATCAATCAGTAAATTATTTAGCTTCTAAATTCAATATAAATTCATAATTTTATTTTCTGATTTTAGAAAATGGTTGAAGAATTTTTAGAAAAATTTTCATGTGAAGTTGGTCAAACAAGTACAGTTAATTCTCGAACAACACATTTAATAGTAAATGATGAGAAAACTCCGTCACGTTCTCCATTATCAATAAAATTAATCGAAGGTGTTGCTAATCATTGTTTTTGTGTTTCTTATAATTGGATTATTGCCTGTCTTCAATATGATCGAATTGTAGATGCAACTCGTTATGAAATTGAAGGTGATGATATGGATTTAAACGTTTATGGTGGTCCAAAACGTTCTCGTTTAGCTGAAAGACGTCATGCACTTTTTGAGAATATATGTTTTATGATAAAATGTGCAGAAAATAAAGATGCACAATTAAGCAATGATCGTTTACAAGATTTAATAACAACATGTGGTGGACAAATTATAACTTGTGTTACACAAAAATTACTTCAAGATCATACAATTGTTGTTCTCTGTGATAAACTATATGTATCTGAACGACGTGCTAACTATAATCACTGTCGTTTCTTAGGTATAAATTTTATTTCATCGAATTGGGTTCTTGAATCAATTATTGAATATCGACAAAAACCTTTTTTATCATACGAAGAAACGCCAATATAAATGATTTTAAAATTTTTTGTTTTTTGTACAAAATAGTTTTTTTTTTGTAAAAAATAATGAAAAAACAAACCAAGATATTTGCCATTATGAATGAACTGAATTATTTACGTTGCTTATTTGTTCATTCTTTTTCTCTCTTTTTTTTTGTTTTGGTAATAGATTATAATTTAAAAATATAATAAAAAGTATGACTACAACAGCAAGTTCATCATCAAATTTACCAGATAAAGATCAAATTCGTGTACACATTCGACGTGATGGATCAATTGAAAGACAACGATTTAATGGACGAGTTTGGAGACAACTATGTAAATATGATGGTGGAGAGGAATGTCAAGCATTTGTTGCATATAGAAGTCTTTGTGTTGGACATTATCATCAAACATCAGGCATAACTGTTAATGAATCAAAACGTCGACAATTAATTCAACAATCAGCAGCAGCTGCTGCATCATCTAAAGCGACGACAACAACAACAACAACGACAGCAACAGCAACAATGATACCATCAAAACTTCGATATTGTTAGTCTATACATATATATATCTTTATTATAATAATACAAAAATGAAATATTTCATTTTTTTTTCTAGCAATTGAAACGCCTTTATCTCTTGGGCTTAAAAGTAAGTAAAAATTTTCTTTATTTGAAATTTTTTTTCTCTATTCTCATTGTACAAATAGATTGGCGACGAAAAACAATGCAACCGAATTGTAAGTAATATAATGGTTGCTCAATTTTTTACTATAAAATAATATCGTAAACAGAAAAACTAAAAATAACAGACGAGGTCGTGACAGTTTTCTAATTACTACTTTTTATCTAAATTTATGTCCTTCTACTTAGTTAATCTTTTTAAATATGCAATTATTCAAACGGAATAAACAAACCAATAAAAGCTTATGTTCTTTAGTTAAGTAGCACAACATGACGTATATATTTTTCATAGTAAATTATAACTAAAAGAAAAACAAGATTAACACATAGTCAATATTTATTAATTGCTCATGCGCACAGTAGACATAACATAAAACGTATAAAATAGTGATTATAATCAGTATAATTCATCGAATAATATCCTACTATAAATATTTTGTCTGAGACTGTAGCTTTAAATCCACTAATCTTCATTATGAAAAAAAATGATAATGCTCCATTTCATTTAAATCTTTATTAAAAAGAATTCATACTAATGACTACTGAGATATTAGTTACAGTAAACTAATATTTAATGAAGTTTTTCCGCATTCATATTATGTCTGATAAATTAGTAAATATTATTTTATTCTAGTTACTATTTTGGGAGATGTTTTTTAAGAACATCATCGAGATTATTTGAGAGGTGCATAATGACCTTTAGTAAAAAATCTTTAAATAAATTGTCACACTCAAACATGACAGTTCTATTGATGCTATTAAAAGTATATTTGAAGTGCCGACACTATTGAATATTTTTACATTTATCGATTCAAATTCCTATGAAATATAATAAATCATTTTTGAATGTACTTTTAAAAAAGTGTTTTATAACAGAAGCAGAATTGTTTTACAATGGCCTCTCATCTGTTATCAATGAATAATATAGACATAAATATTTCTCTTTCTATTTGATTAGATAAAAAAAGTTTTATTATCCAATAACAATAATAATAAACGTCGAAAGTCAGACGAATGGGTTCTTCTAAAACGTTGTCGTTTTGATTCAAATCAAAATAGTATGTTTATTTTATTTTAATCAAAAACAATCAAAAGTGTTTTTTTTTCTGCTTTTATCATTTTAGTACCTCCTGTTCAATCAATTTTACCCAATACATCAACAACAAATATAGATGAATCTGCTGCAACATCTGATGTATGATTTAATAATAGACAACAAAAACAAAATACATCGATTTTTTTTATATTTAGTCTAATCAAGCATGTTCATCAGCTAGTTCATTGGATAGTCATCTTGATGATTATGTTTTGTCTCAAAAACCAATATCAATAACTGGTTCTCGTCTAACTGATGAACAAATGGTAAGACGAATCACAACTAAAATGATCCGAGATAATCACTTATTGTTTCAATAAGGATCGTCTTGATCAATTTCTTCAACGTTTTAATGTTCATTATTCGGATGAAATTGATGAAAAAACTACACATTTAATAACGGATGATACAACAATTCCATTTGTTTGTGCATTATCATCGAAAGTTGTTCATGCATTAGCACGTCATTTAACTGTTTTATCAATACGTTGGATTGATGAATGTCTTCGTTGTGATAAACTTCTACTTGATGAATTATCATTACAATTTGAAATACGTGGTGATTTAACATGTTCAACAATGTATCATGGTGGTATGCAACGTTCACGTCTTATTACACGAAGACATTCATTATTCTCTAAACATATATTTATGCTTAAATGTTCTGGTGTACAAAATGTAAATATAAATATTTTCTTTTTTGTTTTTCTAAATAAGATAATCAATATTTTTATCTTCTTCTTCTTCTTTTATTAATGATATTTTTTAAATTAGTTAATGGATAATCAAGAATTACGTACATTAATAACATTATGTGGTGGTCATACTTGTTCATCATTACGTACAGATCAAGTAACACGATGGACAGCACAAGGTAAAATGATTGTTGTTCTTTGCGAACAAACATATGTTCAAGAACGTCAAGATAAATATTGGAAATGTGTAGAATTAGGTATAAGATTTTGTTCACCTGAATTTATTATTGAATCAATTGCTCAATATCAAGTACAAGATTATGCTATTTATGAAGAAGAACCTCAACAAGATGATGAAGTAAATGATGAAGAATAGTAACTTAGAACAGAAACTATCTTTTACCTATCTTATTGTTTTTCTTTTTTGTTTGTTTTCGTTTATATTTAGTAAGCAGATTATGTGAAAAAAAACAAGTAACCGATACTATTGAAACGATATATTTCTGTGTGTGTGTGTGTGTGCGTGTGTCAGATATGTTTTTCTTTTTCCCATTTTTTTTGTTAGTGGCTGTATGTCAGATGACTTTCTTCTTTTTTTGCTCCATATTTGTTCTTGTTATTGTTGTTATTTTGGAAAACAGTGCAAAAAAATAAAACAAGAATTCATCTCGGTGAAAATGAAACAGATAAATAAAAGATTAATCTCTTTCGATTATTCTCTTTCTCGTAAAAAAGAGTCCAGTAAAAATTAATTGTTTGTTTGCTTGTCTGTCCGCGGGGTCAAAAAAACATCGAAAACTAATTTTCTGAAAAAGACATTTTCAGAGTTATTTCGATGTGGGGAGTTCGAATTTGAAGTCTGTTGGGTGACCATGGTGGCGGGGGTAACGACGAGGCAAAGGTCAAAAAAACATCGAAAATCTATTTTTCACGGGTTTCAATTGTTTTTTTCAGTAAATGTGGGAGGATGCATTTCTACGAGAAAGAGCTAAGCGAGTCCTCGGACGAATGTTACTTGTTGCTGGAAGGCTTATTGCCCTTCACCAATTGGCGAAATTCGAGAATCCCTGTTGAAACTGAAGCTAGACAAAATTTTGTTGTAAAATTTTCTAAGCTAATGCTCTGATCTAAACGTAAAACTTGCTCTTAATACTTTCAACATTCAAAAGTTTTTGATACAAATTTAATGCGTAATATTCTATTTATGAGATCGAATAGTTAAAAACAACATTCTCTATATAGAACTTCGAAGAGAACTATCGACCATTAAGATATGTCAAGTAATTCTTTTTTTCCAATATCATCTTTAGTATGCAACAAACATATAAGAAGGAAGATAAATAGATTACACTTTCAATCCACAATCCAATAAATCATTCAATAAAAAATATTTTCCCTAAATAATTTTAAGCTAGTCGATAGGTGATTCAATCAATTGCAGACGAAGGTTATGAGCTACTTCTCTTTCTTGATTTATATCAATGGGGTCATGAACTTATAATAGCATGTTGACAGCTTGTAACATCATGGTTAATGACATAGATACTATTCATATTCAGCTGATACCCAGACTCTCATTTTAATAGGATTTTATTTAAAGAATAGAAAAAAAATAACATTATGAAAATATGTGGGCCATAATGGTACTTAAAAAAGACTGGTAGAACTGCATGAATGTTCTAGGTCATCATTTATTCAAATAGCTATTTTATGAAAATATGCATATGAATTTACTTATCTAAGATAAGAGATTAAAACGAACATGTTTTATATTACTGTCTGTGTCTAAGTTCAAATGAATTATCTATTAGATCGATTATAACATTTTGAATAATATAGTTCTTTCAAAGGCACTGTAGCAATAATCAAAAACAAGTAAGAAAACTTGTTTCGCATTACGAAAAAAGACTTTTCTGATATATTTATTAGAACACAACTCTGACGCATGAAATTTATATATAAAAGCTAACCAAATAGATTGAATATTATACATCTACTATTGTAAGTCTGTATTCATCGTTAGATTATTATTAGAAATCAATAAAAAGAAACAAAATTAATTATTCTTTCGATCAAATACCAATCGGAGGCTATATTTAAAAAAATGCAATCTTTTTTTCATCGGGAAAATCAATTACACATCGACATTATATCAGGATACTCAAATAAATCTTATGCAATTAGAAAAATATCATATAACTCTTGATAACTTGTTCTTTGGAATTAATCTCATCAATCTGACACTTGCACACGTATCCAGACATATTTTTGTCGAGCTACCAGATTTTTAATATCACAAACTAGTTTCTGGAATAGTAACTTACGGTATTTCCTTGTCGAAGAAAAATACGAAAGTTGGATCTTATTTGAACTAATTCCACTTTATCGGACAATGTGCAAATAAATGAAATATATGAATTAATGATTTCTATAGATCATATTGTTGTATCAATTTATTAACAGATTTTTATCTTATTATAAAAAATCAGTTACCATTCAACTTATCTTTGAGCATAGCTGCATATTCTCGTTAAGCATTTTTTCTTTTCAA